TAACTTATCGAATCGGCTGAATAATTATTCGGTTAATTTTTCATAAAGTGTCCCAGGAATAATGATAACAGCTGTAATAACCGGGTGAGTTTTTTAAAACAATTTTATAAAATTTTTATATATGAAATTTAAAAAAAAACCGGCCGGCCGGGTCTGTTTAAAAGTTTCATGTTATGAAAACCAAGATATCAAATTTGTGTAGCCTAACTTAAAAAAACAAATTTTTTTTTAAAAAAAATTTTTTTAGCCAATTTGTAGCTTTAAGTCTAACGCTAAGCTACAATTTAAATTAAATTTTGGCGTTTAAATATATAAAAAAAAGAAACTTTTTGACCAATCACAATTGATTATATTATATAAAATCAGCCAATCAAACAATTAAATTGATTATGTAATTTTAAAATTTGCCGCATTTTACTATCCCGCACTGTATTATTCCCGAACATGAAGATAAAGACAAAAGATGAATATATAGAGCCACCACGTAAGGAAAAAAAAACAAAAGAAAAGACTGATTCCAGGTATATTAACAGTGATTCTAAATCTACATTCTTGATGCTGATGGGGGTTTTTTTTTTGTTTGAAAGCCTGTTCACCGTTGTTAGTTTGGACGATCCAGAGTATAATGAACGAAGACCAGTTAATAAAAATGTTTTAGAATTTAGAGATAAACACTTCTATGGTAAAAGATTACCACGAAAAAATAGTAAGTTTGTATCGTTTATATATTATTGCTTAAAATTGTCTATGCATAACCATTTGTAATTATTTTGTAGCCATCTTGAATATTAGTCAGAGAAGTTTTGGTAACGTTCCCGCAGTTAGGTTTAAGAGAAAATAATAGTAGCCTACTAAAAGTAATTGTTTTTTTTTTAACTTGGAAATTATACCTGCTTTTATAAATTGGCATTTGTAATTATAAATTATTTAGTCTAACTTTAAATTTAAATTTTAATACTGTTTATATACGATGGAGTAGCAGATAAGCCTGTAGTATATGAGAATTAGACCAGTTCAACTTTAAGTGAACAATTTATTGTAGTACTTAAGTACATTTTTCTTCAAACAACACATTAATTATACGGGAAATTTCAGTAACAGTTTCCATTATTTTCTTTTTCTGTCTTTCGGATGGCATTCGTTTAATCCATCGATGCCAACGGTCAGGATGAAAACGTATCTGTTCTTGACGTAATATAGATCTTATTTCAGAATCATCCTTAATGCCTGATAATAAAAAATCCTCTACGTCGACTTTTGATAGTCTTCTTATGTCAGTGGTAGGCCATGGGATGTCTTTGAATACAACCGATGATTGTCCATTTATATCAAATTGATTCCAATGAGCTAAATATGAGATTCTCCTTTCATGTCTTATTTCTTGCAGGCGTATCTGTTCTGCTTGATAATGACGCATTAAGCGTTGTTGTTCCGCTTGTTGTTCAGCTTGCATTTCCGCCATTCTCCTCAGCTTTGCACTTTGCTTCTGCTTAAATTCTTCTTCTCTTCTTCTTTGTTCTTTTAATTCCTGTTCATGCTGTTTTTCATACATACCTTTGCGAATGAATGCAGCATAATCCTCCTCCGACATGCCGTCTATATCTTTCGAATCGCAAGTTTCTCCTTTATAATAAAGAAAATTTGAATAGTGATCAACTTCGTCTTCTGCCAACACATCAAAAAGATGCTGTAACCATTGCTCATTGTGGGATATATCTATTGATGAAAATGTGGAATTGTGATCGTTATATCGATATGTAGAATCTGTTGCTTTTGAATAGTTTTGAGTGTGGTTCTCGAAACGTTTGGTGGAATTGTGGCGATTTTCTTGACTTTCGGGTTTCTCAAATCTTTCATAAAATGGCTTGTACTTGGATGATTTAGGCTTGTCATCTACACGTGAGTGAGATAGTTTATGGCGAGGCATTCTAAAATGAGCAACGTAGAGAGATGGTTAAATTTTAGCGTTTGGTTGGTTGATTTTTAGAACTACCCAACATATGGTCACAAATTTGCGATCACTAACCAATAAAATTAATTTATTATTGTATTGTAATTTGACTCAACCTGACAAATGATCGGCCGACACGTGCTGCGAAGCGCACGTGTTAGCCGATCATTTGTCAGGTTGAGTCAAATTACACTTTTCACTAGGAACCGGAAACCGGTTTAAATCTCATAGGCCGACATTCATCTGATTGGCTATTGCCCGGGCAACTAATTTATCGATTTACTTATTTGCGCTGGTGATACAAATCACGTGCCAATAGCAAATATTCGTTTGTTGTTATTTTGCTAAAAACACGTGAAATTTTGACCAGCATTAGAGTTAGGGTTAATGTTGATATAGGAAAAGTCGTATAGTAAAATTTGGCTAGGAATTTTTTTATTACTGTAGAACGTAAAAGGCGATTAATTTTGAGTTACCGGCAATGGCTGCACCTGATCTTGCGATCTACATAGAAAAATTTCCTTTTTTGGATTTGTATCACCAGCGCAAATAAGCAGTGTTGGACTATAACCTGTTATGACCTGTATATGACCTATATGACTAGTCATAGGTCATACAGTCATAATAAAGATTATATGACTTATTACCAAAAATATTAATTAACCAATAAAATAATAGTAATGATAAGTTCATTTTATTTTTTTTTTTTTGAATATTAATGGTGAGACCATGTCTCTGTCTTTATTGAAATTTAATTAAAATCTTTTATA